GAAAATAGTTCTACATCCCACAATTTCTAAAGAATAATGTTCCATATCTGCATAGTAGAAACATTGTCAGATGTCCTTCTACCCTTTCATGAGGCAGGGAATACTGGACAAAAGATATATGCTCTGGGGAGAAGGTCTGACTAGAAGATTTCCAAGATTTTATGATTTAATGTATATGCAATTTACCATAAAAGACAAAAATAGTGTAATGATTCCCTTTACCTGAGGATACACTGTAGGATTTCTTTAAGTCAAGCTGTGCTAGTGCCCTGAAGATGTGATCTGAATGTGTCAAATACAAGCAAGTTTGCAGGAATGCTCCTATTCTAGCAGATGAGGTGTTCTCTGAATTCTCTCCTTTCGTGTTATCATTAATGTGTGAAGACTGTACTAAGAACGATTGCAAGATGGAAAGCAGTCAGGAAACCTGGATCCTGGCCTTCCCTCTGCTGGTCTTATGTAAAATAATCTCTCCTAAATCTCTTCCTAATGGTCTCCAAAGATCTCTTTTTAATGGTTCAAGTTGTGTACACTAAATGTGTTACATAGAGATAATTCAGTTGGAGAGAATGTTTGATCAGAATGACCTGGCAAAAAATACGCTGTATCATTTTTATTTAGTAAGCAAATGTTGATTAATAAATGATTACATTAAATAACTTAGAAAAATCTGCAAAAGTTCAATGTTCAAGATAACCAAAGAGTTATATACTTTCAGTTAATGATTACAGATAAACTTAAGAAAGGTTTTCTTGGGCGCCTGGGTGGTTCAGTCGTTAATCGTCTGCCTTCGGCTCGGGTCATGGTCCCAGGGTCCTGGGATCGAGTCCCACATCAGGCTCCCTGCTCTGCGGGAAGCCTGCTTCTCCCTCTCCCACTCCCCCTGCTTGTGTTCCTGCTCTCGCTATGTCTCTCTCTGTCAAAAAAAAAAAAAAAAAAGAAAGGTTTTCTTTCTTGTGCAATACCTTAAAATAGATATCGGGATTTAAGTGGTAACAGTAAAAAGATTGCTTTTTCTTCATATTTTAAAATGTGGCCTAGCAATTTATGTTCCTACAGCAAAAACTAAAAACTATAATTATAAAGTAATAAGATAATTACTCCCCAATTCTCCCACCAAAGATAATCTGTATGTTTTTGTACTGCTAAAACAAAAAAATCTTTTTAGAATAACCAGAGACCAAATAGGATGTACAGATGATTAAATTAGCACTAATTTTTAAAATATCGTCATTTATTATAGACCTATACTCCTTTTAATTATTAAAACCTGAAATATAGTGAAACTCTTCTGGAAGAATAAACAAATTGCAAATAGATTTAAATAATGAATGAACTCATTGAATTAGACTTAAAGCCTCCCCAGAAAAGAGTCAACTACTAAAAACTTTCATATAGTTTAAAAAAAGAGTATATACTTAAAAAAATAGTAAAAGTTATTGATGATACAGAATAATGTAAACTCAAAGGATAATCTTTTAACTTTTGACAAACTGAAGAGAAATAGGATGAATTGTTTAATGTTTTTTGGACAGCAGCATATTAGTATAGAAAAGAAGTAATTAATTTAGGTCTTTATTTCATATCATCTCATAACATATATATTTTTTCTTTTTTCTTTTTTTAATTTAAATTCAATTAGCCCACATATAGTACATCATTAGTTTTTGGTGTAGTGTTCAATGATTCATTAGTTGTCATAACATATATTCTTGATAGGTCATAAGACAACAGGAAAAAGTGGACTAGCATAAAAAGATAGACAGTAGAGAGAAAAATACTCTTCTGAGTCCTGGGGGGAAAAAAAACTGATACCGAACATAGAGAAATGTTTATAACACTTTTTTTTTAATTTTCAAGGGAATTTTATAAAACAAATATTAATATGAAAGCAACCAAACAGGAAATACATCTGACAAAAATAACATGGGGGCAACATAAATAGTAATTATCACACAGAAAAGCACATAGCTTTACCAGCAATTAAATACAAGTAAATTATAAAAATTTCTCAAGTATACACAAGAAATTGTTAATAGTTGTTGATTTCAGGGGAACTTGAGGAAGGGAGGAAACAAGTGAAAATATGTGTAAGATGTTGAATTCTGTAGAACACTGGCTCCCCGAAAATAGCACAAAAGCAATTTGTTGATCAAAACAAACTGTGCACGTATTGCAATGAGCATTGGGTGCTATACGACAACAATGAAATCATGGAACACTACATCAAAAACAAATGATGTACTGTATGGTGACTAACATAACATAGTAAAAAGAAACTGTTGATAAGGGCGCCTGGATGGCTCAGTCGATTAAGCGACTGTCTTCAGCTCAGGTCATGATCCTGGAGTCCCGGGATCGAGTCCCGCATTGGGCTCCCCGCTCAGCGGGGAGTCTGCTTCTCCCTCTGACCCTCCCCCTTCTCATGCTCTATCTCATTCCCTCTCTCAAATAAATAAATAAAATCTTAAAAAAAAAAAAAAAAAGAGGGCGCCTGGGTGGCTCAGTTGGTTAAGCAACTGCCTTCGGCTCAGGTCATGATCCTGGAGTCCCGGGATCGAGTCCCGCATCGGGCTCCCTGCTCGCAGGGAGTCTGCTTCTCCCTCTGACCCTACCCCCTCTCATGTACTCTCTCTCGTTCTCACTCTCTCAAATGAATAAATAAATCTTAAAAAAAAAAAAAAGAAACTGTTGATAAGAGAAATCTGAATTTATTTTTATCAAGTAAGAGAAAGTACTGCCTTCACATATGTTGGCCTTTTTAATATGAAGTTATTTATTTTTTTTAAAGATTTTATTTATTTATTTGACAGAGAGACACAGCGAGAGAGGGAACACAAGCAGGGGGAGTGGGGAAGGGAGAAGCAGGCTCCCCGCAGAGCAGGGAGCCCGATGCAGGACTGGATCCCAGGACCCTGGGACCATGACCCAAGCCGAAGGCAGTCGTTTAACCGACTGAGCCACCCAGGTGCCCCATACCAAATGCATTCTTATAATTTATGGTTGGACTATTATTATTGCCAGTTTTGTGAATTGAGAGCATAAAGATGGCCAAATTAGTGGGCCCAAGAAAATTTGCTGGATAAATACCTTTAATGTACGACTGTAAAATGCATTTCTCTCTGTTTACATATGTCCACACGTGCATGTAGCAATTTTGGGAGAATGCTTTTATTTGCACTTGGCTTTTTAACTTATTGTTTGGGGACATATTTGAGAGGACCTACCAAGTGGTTTTTGCAAAAAGAGTTTGAAGAGGCTCATATTTTATTTAATTTAAAATGTAAAATTTCAATCATATAATGTCAACTTCAAATTCTTGTACTGTGGAGGCTGCATGTATAGAGCAGGAGTTACAGTGCCGGGCATATGGATAGAGGCTAAATAAATAAAATGTGCTATTCCCATAAACAGTTGACATGAGAGACAACTGTTTCCCTTTGATCTATAAAAACGGAAGGGCTATATCTTTGGCATCATGTGAGCGGACACTTGTGAGTGGGTTAAAAAATCTCCAAATAGGATGACTTTATAAATGCCCTATCTTCACAGAAACACTAACGGACTTCTTCAAGGTATGTAAACACAGAGAGAAATGATATACATAAAATATAACAAGATAAAATACGAGTAAAGAAGAATAGAGAAAGATGAAACAAAGGACAAGCCCATTGCACAAAATTCATTTAATATTATCTTGTCCATTTGCTACAGGTGGGATGCAAATTTAATTCTGAGGCTCCTACATGTCAATTAAAGGAGAAAAATGTACTCAGTAACTGTATTAACTACAACTCTTTTGTTTACAAGTGATAGATCCAAATCAAACTGGTATTTTTTTAAAAAGGACATGTATTTGCTCATTTAATAGAAAAGACCATGAATGGAACTATCTTTAGGCACAGATGGTCCAGAGAGTCAACGTCCATAGGACATTTACCTCTGTGTTAGTTTCATTCTCTAGTAGGCTCTTTTTACTTGCTGGCAAAGATGACTACAAAAGCTCTAGGCTTACAGGGTTGTTATGGCCAGTAATCCTAAAGTAAGGAGAGCATCTCTTTTCTGAGAGCTCCAGAAAAAAATCCTTGGTAGGATTCTGAATGGTACTCTTTGTGTTATGTTCTCTCTGGATCAATCATGTGGACAAAAGAATGAGGCATTCTAACTGGCTAGCCTGGGTCATGTGCCTTCTCCCACGGGCAGGGGAAGTGAAACTATATGATTGACAATCCCACCAGGAAAGCATCATCTTTCCAGGGCAGCTTCAGAAAGGAGGAGTTAGGCAGACAAGAAAATAATGGCTTGATAGTGACATGATTCCATATAAAATATAAATTATTTTAGAAGCCCAGCTACTTTTCGGAATAACACTTAAGGGAAAAAAAGTCTCCTCTAGGGCCTCAATAACACACCTCTATAAATATTTTATACAACTGTTTTCTATTACATCTCCAATATAGACCAGTGGCATAATGCCAACATGGTTTGATTAAAAAAAAAAAATTCTATGAGGGATCAGAGCAATGCAATCCAAATATACAATTTTTGTACTTTTATCCAAGGATGAAACTTAGCATCTATACAGGAAGATGGAATGTGTATTCCTCAGGTGTCTTAGCCACAATTTTGGTGGCAAGGTACAGGAATCCATTCAAACTAGTGTAGCCAGTTTATCAAGATGCAAACGAAACAGAAAACAAATAAGAAACAGTATTTTGCTTCCACTGTTGTCCTCAACCATGCTGTATAAAACCTCCTTCCCTGCCCTTGACCACATCTCAGGCAAATCCTATAGCTTTTTGGTCTTCCTCAGGCACTAAAAGGTTTAAACTAATCTAATTTAAAACTCATTTTTTTAAAAAACAGCTTTATTGAGGGCGCCTGGGTGGCTCAGTTGGTTAAGCGACTGCCTTCGGCTCAGGTCATGATCCTGGAGTCCTGGGATCGAGTCCCACGTTGGGCTCCCTGCTTGGCAGGGAGTCTGCTTCTCCCTCTGACCCTCCTCCCTCTCGTGCTCTCTGTCTCTCATTCTCTCTCACAAATAAATAAATAAAATCTTTAAAAAAAAAAAACAGCTTTATTGAGTTATAAATTACATGTAATTCACCCACTTAAAGTGTACAATTCAGTGGTTTTTGGCATATTCACAGAGTTGTGCAAACCTCACTGTAATCAATTTTGGAACATTATTATCACCCACAAAACAATCTCACATTCATTTTACTTTTATTTTATTTTTTTAGGAATAATTGTTTTCGTTTTAATATATTTGAAGAACAAATCAGAGGAAATAATTCAGTGTCTCACATTCATTTTAAAGGCACTCTCTTTTCTTGGCTCAATGACTTCAGTGACTGTCAGGGAGAGAAGTGTCATTCCTTTTATCATTTTTCCTTGTTATTCAATTCCTTGCCATCTAATTTCCAGGATTGGGGCAGGGATGTGAGGACTGAAGAAAAGAGGCACAGTTATTTTATTGACTGGTAGAGTGACTGAACTTTCCCAGTTTCCTTGGCACTGAGGAGTTTCCCAGGCTCTGGGACTTTTCAATGCTAAAGTTGGAAAATTCCAAGCCACCCTATGAGCTGCTGCTGTAGTTCACTCTTGCTTAATCAACGGCTAACCATCGCACTTTGTTACAGCTGCTTTCCAGGTAGTCCAGCTCTTCCTTGAGGCACCCTGGAGACCTCCAAACTGCAATTCCTAACAGAGGTTGTGCACTCTGGGTGACCTCTTCCCCTCTCAAATTCTGTCTTTCAGTAGTATACTCTCCCACTGCTAGTAATATTGTTTGTCCACTGGATTAAGTTGATAATCACCAGATAGCTTGATTATAACATTAAGTTCCTACTTTGACGAGTAGCAAATAATCTATAGGATATTCAGCTCCTACTCAACCTTTTACCTGATGGTTTTAGTATTGGTGGTCTTGAACTGATTTGTCATTAAGGATTGTAAAATGGTTATTCTCTAATTCTAGAAGATGAATGATGGTGCTAATGAACATTTGGATACAGATTTTTGTGTGAACATGTTTTCAATTCTCTTGGGTATATACCTATGCATAGAATTGCTGTGACATATGGAAACTCTATGTTTAACATTTCGAGAAACCCCCAGACTATTTTACAAAGCAGCTTCACCATTTTGCATTCCCACCAGCAGTATGTGAAAGTTCTAGTTGCTTCACATACTTGCCAACACTTGGTATGGTCAGTCTTTTCCATTATAGTCATTCTAGTGGGTGTAAAATGGTACCTCATTGGGGTTTTGATTTGCATTTCCCTAATGACTGATGACGTTGAGCATCTTGTCATGTACTTGTTGGTCAACTGTATACCTTCTTTGGTGAAATGTCTATACAAATCCTTTGCCCATTTTAAAATTGAGTTGTCTTATTGTTGAACTATAAGTATTTTTTTATATTCTGGAGGTAAGCCCTCTATCAGATATGATTTGCAAACATTTTCTCCCATTCTGTGGGTCATCATTTCAATTTCTTGATGTTATCCTTTGAGCCTAAGTTTCCAATTTTGATAAAGTCTAATTTACCCATTTTTTTTATGTCATTTGTGCTTTTGAGGTCATATCTAAAGCTTTGCCTAACCCAAGGTCACAAAGATTTACTCTTGTTTCTTTCTCAGAGTTTTATGTTTTAGTTCTTTTATTTGGGTCTATGATCCATTTGAGTTAATTTTGGTACTTGATGTGAAGTAAGGTCCAACTTCATTCTTTTGCATGTGGATATCCAGTTGTCCTAGCACCATTTGTTAAAAAGACCTTTCTTTCCCCAGTGAATTGTTTTGGCACCCTTGTCAAGAATCAATTGACTCTTATTTCTGGACTCTCAATTCTATTGCATTGAGTTATATATTCATCTTTATGCCTGTACCACATTATCTTAATTACTGTAGCTTTGCAGTAAGTTTTAAAATGTAGGTCTTCCAACTTTGTTCTTCTTTTACAAGATTGATTACTCTGGGTCTCTTGTATTTCCAGATAAATTTTAGGGTCAGCTTGTTATTTTCTGAAAACAAAACAAAACAAAACACAATTGGGGTTTTGAGAGATTGCACTGAATTATTGACTAATTGGAGAGTATTGCTATCTTAACAATATTGTCTTCCAATTTTTTTTTTTTAAGATTTTATTTATTTGACAGAGAGAGACACAGTGAGAGAGGGAATACAAGCAGGGGGAGTGGGAGAGGGAGAAGCAGGCTTCCTGCCGAGCAGGGAGCCCGATGCGGGGCTCGATCCCAGGACCCTGGGATCATGACCTGAGCCGAAGGCAGACGCTTAACGACTGAGCCACCCAGGCGCCCCTAACACTTTTTTTTTTTAAAGATTTTATTTATTTTATTTATTTATTTATTTATTTATTTATTTATTTATTTATTTATTAAAGATTTTATTTATTTATTTGACAGAGAGAGGTAGAGGCACAGCGAGAGAGGGAACACAAGCAGGGGGAGTAGGAAAGAGAGAAGCAGGCTTCCCACCGAGCAGGGAGCCCAATGCGGGGCTTGATCCCAGGACCCTGGGATCATGACCAGAGCTGAAGGCAGTCGCTTAACCAACTGAGCCACCCAGGCGCCCCTTTATTTATTTATTTTTAAAGATTTTATTTATTTATTTGAGAGAGAGAGAATGAGAGACAGAGAGCATGAGAGGGAAGAGGGCAGAGGGAGAAGCACATCCCCTGCTGAGCAGGGAGCCTGATGCAGGACTCGATCCAGGGACTCCAGGATCATGACCTGAGCCGAAGGCAGTCGCTTAACCGACTGAGCCACCCAGGCGCCCCAAGATTATATTTATTTATTTGACAGAGAGAGACATAGTGAGAGCAGGAACACATGCAGGGGGAGTGGGAGAGGGAGAAGCAGGCTTCCCGCTGAGCAGGGAGCCCGATGCGGAGCTCGATCCCAGGACCCTGGGATCATGACCTGAGCCGAAGGCTGACGCTTAACGACTGAGCCACCCAGGCGCCCCTTGTCTTCCAATTTTTAATATAGGATGTCTTTTTTTTTTTTTTTTTTTTTAAAGATAGGGAGAGGGGGAGGGAGGGGAAGAGGGAGAGGGAGAGAGAGAATCTTAAGCAGGCTCCACACCCAGCACAAAGACCATCTTGGGACTTGATCTTACAACTCTGAGATCCTAACCTGAGCTGAAATCAAGAGTTAGACACTTGGGCGCCTGGGTGGCTCAGTTGGTTAAGCGACTGCCTTCGGCTCAGATCATGATCCCAGAGTCCCGGGATCGAGTCCCGCATCGGGCTCCCTGCTGGGCGGGAAGCCTGCTTCTCCCTCTCCCGCTCCCCCCTCTTGTGCGTGCTCTCTCTCATACAAATAAATAAAATAAAAAAAAAAAAGAGTTGGACACTTAATTGACTGAGCCACCCAGGCGCCCTGGGATGTCTTTTATTTATGTTAGGTCTGTTTAAATTTCTTTCAACAATGCTTTGTAGTTTTTAGTGTACAGTCTAACACTTCTTTAAATTTATTCCTAAGCATTTTATTTTTTGATAATACTATTATAAATGAAATTGTTTTCTTAATTACATTTTAAGATTGTTAATTGCTGGTGTATAGCAATACATCTGATTTTGTATATTTACTTTATATCCTGCAAACTTGCTGAACTCATTTAACTTTTGTGTTTGTATTCCTTAGAATTGTCTATATACAAGATCATGTCACTAAAAATAGAAAGTGTTTTCTCTTCCTGTCCAATCTGGATGCTTTTCATTTCTTTTTCTTGCCTAATAGCCCTCACTAGAACCTTTAGCACAATGTTGAATAGGAATGGTGAAAGTGGACATCTTGTCTTATTTCTTAAGTAAAATATTAAGTATGATGTTAGTTGTGTGTTTTTGTTTTGTTACAGATACTCTTTATCAGGGTGAGGAAGTTTCCTCTATTCCAAGTTTGTTGAGTGTTTTTATTATGAAAGGATGTAGGATTTTGTCAAATGCTTTTTCTGTGTTGGGTAGATTGTGTGACTTTTATGACTTATTCTATCAATATGGTGTTTGACTTTTGGATGTTAAATGAGCAATTGTATTCCTTAGTGTAAGTCCTACTTGTTCATAGTGTATAATGAATGACTTTTATGTTGCTGGATTCAGTTTACAGAACAAAGCGAAGAATGGATCTGGAGGGGTAAACCAAAAATACCCAGCATAGTTACCAAAGGTAGTATAGTCAGGACTGACAATCCAGCACTCTTATTCCACTAGCAAGGTAATCAATACTATGAGTATACAATTTGATGTGTGCAATGAGAAATATATAAAAATATAAAGACATGGTCCCTTAGCCTCAAAATACTTATAATACTGTTGAGAAGAAACTTATACATATGAAATAATCAGTAAATATTTAAAAACAGGACTAAAGTGTAGAAAAATAAAATCAAGGTAGGAATTACCTTATGCTTCTTTTATATTCACATAGTAGAAGGCAAAGTGTTAGCTTCAATACTCAATGCCTAGCTTCCCCCGGAAGGGCTTTTAAAGTATCAAAGACTGATACTAGAAAGCTAAATTAAAAGAAAAGAACTAACGCTTAATGGGTACTCACTATGTATTTGGTGTTTGAATATATCGTTTAACCAGGAACCATGGTTTAGTTATTATTCCTGACTTACAAATGAGGGGATTAAAGTTGAAAAAATTAAGTCAACTTTCTCATGCTTAAGCTGGAACTTGGATATCCCAGGTGTGTCTTATTTGCCCAGGAGTATTGCTCTCTGTACCACATCCATATGCCAGAAACATCTTAAAGCAGAAGACCTGAAGGCTAGTAGCCTAGCATTCAAGTCTCATAAACAACATTAATTTTGTTAAAGTTTGAGCAATTCATACTACCTCTCACATCTCTAGTTAATTTGTATTTTAAAAAGAAATGATAAGATGGCTTGCTGTTGTCTTTGGAAGATCATACAGTGAAGTCCAAGCATGGGGTAGGGTTGGGCCAAAACACTAAATATGATTATATGTGTGTATGTATGTGATACTTACATTTCTGTATCTATATTTCAAGTCAATAATGAAAACTATTTTTTGAAATATTTATTATCGTTACTAATAGTCTGAACAAGCAAGAAAAGAAACAACTGAGATTACTGTTAGTTTTTAAATTTTTCATAAATTCCTCAGCAAATATTCTACACTAACTTTCTTTTTTTTTTTTTTAAAGATTTTATTTATTTATTTGACAGAGAGAGACACAGCGAGATCAGGAACATAAGCAGGGGGAGTGGAAGAGGGGGAAGCAGGCTTTCTGCGGAGCAGGAAGCCCAGTGCGGGACTCGATCCCAGGACCCTGGGATCATGACCTGAGCCGAAGGCAGACGCTTAACGACTGAGCCACCCAGGCACCGCTCTACACTAACTTTCTAAGTTGGCAAGCTCTTTATATTATGCTTCAATTACTCTCTTAAAATAGAAACAACAGTTCTATTACCAGTGTGTTATTAATATAAAATGAGATTATAAATATGAAAATGATAGATAAAGCTAGTGATTAACTTCACAATTTGGGACCTGCTCACAGGAAAAGCATCTTTCATCACTAGAATCCATTCTCCCTATCTGTGGCCTCAGTTGAAAGAAACAGTTATTTTGCTAACATCTATAACCTCTCCAATTTTTACTATAGGTCTTTGTAAATTATTATATGAACCTTCTGGCTAAGTCATTTCTCTATCTGGGAATAGAGGTAGAAGTAATCTGGTAAACACTAGAGATCACTTCTGCCTTTATAAGTCTGAAAACTTTTATATCCTGCTTCCCACATCTGGAAATTTTTATGCTGTACCATTTTACTCTGTATCCTTAGTGTCTTGCCCATCTAATGAGTACATAATAAAAAGAAAAAATGAAAGAAAAAAAATTTTCCCTTTTATATTTGGCTATAGACCGTATTCAGCAATGTCCACAATAGCCAAAATATGGAAAGAGCCCAGATGTCCATTGACAGATGGATAAAGATGTGTTTTATACACACACACACACACACACACAAATGGAATATTATTCAGCCATCAAAAAGAAGGAAATCTTGCCATTTGCAATGACGTGGATGGAACTAGAGGGTATTATGCTAAGTGAAATAAATCTGTCAGAGAAAGACAAATATCATTTGATTTCACTCATATGTGGAATTTAAGAAACAAACAGATGAACATAGGGAAGGGAAGAAAAATAAAATAAGACAAGAACAAAGAGGGAGACAAACCATAAGAGACTCTTAACTACAGGAAACAAACTGAGGGTTGCTGGAGGGGAGGGCGGTGGGAGGATGGAGTAACTGGGTGTTGGGCATTAAGGAGGGCACGTGATGGAATGAGCACTGCCCGCTATATGCAACTGATGAATCACTAAATTCTATACTCTGATACTAATAATACACTACATGTTAATTAAATTGAATTTAAATTTAAAAAAAGACTACCATAACAGAATGGAAATTTTTATTTTACAAATGAAAAAGCAAAATACGGTTATTAAATTGACCCTGAAGTCACACTCTAAATTCATACCTTACAGTTCAGTTTTCCGAGTTCATCAGTTAATTCCACAAAACAGACTAAACCTCTGTCTGTGGAAGAAGCACAGACCATATTTAACCATGATAACAGAGATGGCTGGCAAGATTAAGCAAAGGAAGTGATTGTAGCTCCTGCTTGAATTCTTTGTCTTCTTGAAAACATTCTCCATGGCCATGTGAGACTTAAACTGTGACTGTCCTGGCCAGAGAAGAAGGTTAAAGCTGTGTCATAATTACAGACTACTCTTCTACCTTCATCTTGTGATATCCATGTGTCTCAGAGAGGTCTGGCTAAACCAGAATATTCTTTGCAATAGCATTCAAAGTCCTTACTTGTGCCACATCTGTTACCTTTTGAGAATATTCTGAGCTAGAAAGAGAGGCTCCCATGGCAACAGAGAAATTTCTGCAACAGAAATAATAAAAAGACAGATTGTTATATAAGTTGTTAAATGAGCCCTCCTACTGGCCCTTCATTTTATACACTATTTAATGGTTCAAGAACACAGGTAGGTAAAGGACCCTGGATTCCCATATTTCATAATTTTTATTAATTACTTGAAACATCTAGTAGCCAAATATACCTAACAATATACTTGATTTTATATCTAGAAATGTAGTTCTAAGGATCTTGCTTCTTTTACATCTCATTTTTCCCAATTCTAAATTGAAATAATAAACTACTAACTATTAAATTATAGGATTCTTCTAAAGTATAATAAACACTCAATAGTTTCAATTTCTTAACGGTGGTATAATTTCAAAATAACTAAAAATAGCAAAGGTGAGAGAAGACTAAGTATTAAAGGTAGGAGGGATAAAAATGACTATGACTCTTCCATCCTTATACCATAATTATTAACTGTGCTAAAGGAAATCAGAGTTGAATGGGCATACATACATATCTGACTCATTTGAAGCTTAGCTGCTGAATTAGGGTTTATTATTAAGCGGTCTAAGTTCAGCAATGACTTAAAAATATAAAGTTCACCTATATTCAGAAGAGCCTGCTTATGTGAGGCAGGATAAAACCATTTTGCAGTTGAAAAACTGCAAAAATGACTGCAGTACTTACATATTAATCACAACATTCCATTCATTAATCAGCCATCAACTAAGGTTTTCCTCTAACAGGATATAAAGATTAATCTGTCCCTTCTTGTATGAATCAAAGAATACATTTTTACCGAAATTTCATTCCTGAATCTCTAGCAGACCGAGCAGAACAGTGAAATTCTGTAGCACCAGAACCCTCAAGGATCCTTTGTAGATTTCTGTCTGTTATGCCACCCCCTGTTGGAAGAATAAGTAATACATTAGGTAGAATAGAATTTTGTATAAAATTTAATGAATACTAGTGACTACTTGCTCTACCTGAAATTCCCATACCAAAATTTCTCATTGACTCAAGAGTTACTCTCTCCCTACTAAGCTAGAATGAGATTAGAAAGACTGATAAAAGACATAGGCTACAGGCTCTGGAGAACAACTAATAAGGTCATAGAACCCGTATGATGGAATCTTATACATCCATTGGTTTATATAACAATACCATATGATACTGACTTTAAAAAGATTGCTCTAGGGCAAGGAAAAACCACTGAGTGCTCTATCCCTGCTCCCCCTCAATTTAAGCAAAATCAAATTAAAACAAAAAGTAAGGATATGTTGAGCACAGCCTGAGAGATGTTGTCTGAAAAACACAAGTACTCTCTCTAACCCAGGATTCAAAGAGCACACTGACTTCACTGGAAATGGGAGTAATGCAAGGCATTACACAGTTTATTCATTACAATAGCAACTTTGCTTTTCACAGAAGAATCTGATTCTACTTTAGTAAAACTGCACAATCAAGTACTTTGTAATGACTCGTTTTGTTGAACAATCTCTTAATTAAATATTTGTATATAAACAATCATATTCTGAACTGATACCAGATTAAAAATATAAAATTACTCTTTATATCTTTCCTAATATATAGGATGTATTCAATAAAGATTTTTTAATGACTGATAAAATATATACTTGGTATTTCAAACTATTCAAGTTGCTGAAGTAACTTGACTTTACAAACTCTTTTGAACTCATTAACTTGTTTGTTTTCTTTTTTCGTAGTGGTACAGTAATATCACTGAGCCCTAAGAAGCTGAAAGAACACAGACTTTTTTTTAGATGTGTGTAATGATAAAATGTCATGATGCTTTTCACTTTAAAATACCTAGGGTAAAAATGATAACAAATGTGGCAAAATGTTAAATCTAGGGAATGAATATATGAATATTCATTATGCTATCTCCTACTTTCTTATATGTTTGAGAAAATTAATATGAAAAAATTAAGATTGTCTTTATATTTGTCTCACTCTGATTCTAGATCCCCTTATTAATTCTTTAAAAATTGTTCATCTCGGGGCAGCTGGGTGGCTCAGTCGGTTAAGCGTCTGCCTTCGGCTCAGGTCATGATCCCAGAGTCCTGGGATCGAGCCCCGCATCGGGTTCTCTGCTCAGCGGGAAGCCTGCTTCTCCCTTTCCCACTCCCCCTGCTTGTTTCTGCTCTTGCTAACTCTCTCTCTCTGTCAAATAAATAAATAAAATCTTTAAAAAAAAAAAAAAAGAAAAATTGTTCATCTCTAGTGAGCCAGTATGTACTGAGTGGATCTTAGGTTATCATCAGGAGCATATGCTCCAATTGTTCTGGCTATAAGGAAGAATTAGGTGATCAGAGATTTTGAAGAACCAAGAGAATATTATATTTGTCCATAGATATTGCCTAAACATTTGCTTATACCTTGTTAAGAGCTAGGACATTTGGCCCTAACTCAGTATAGCAGTATCAAACTTGGTGTGCCTCACCAGAGATGACCATCCATATTCACAAAATTCTATACTATGGGAGAGCAAACATGGAGAAACCCCAATCCCAATCAATCTACTTCCCTATTTGCTACCCTCTGAGCTAATTCCTGCTAGAATGTTCTCCTTATCTGAAGTTTTAAAATTCCAGCACAGATCTCCCAGTCTTAAATTTTTAATCAAATTACACATTTTTCTCTCTAATACCATGTATTCATATTTTCTCCCATATTGTCCTGCCTCCTTTGTTCTTCCTCCACTGCACCTCAGTGTTATACTAACAAATGGACAGATAATTAAATACCTGGCATTACCACAATCCTCCCTTTTGCCTGAAAAAAGAAAAAAAACAAATTTTAATATCTTTCTCTCAAATGCGGTAATAAGGCAGTGAGAACAGAAGCATTAGTGAAAGTATATTAAAATTTTAAAACTAGTAGTAGTGTCTAACTTTCAATAGTCATCTCTATTTCTTTGGGATCTTGGGTAAGAAAGATGTTTAGCATAGTAACTCTTTCTATACAGAAAGGTTCTTTTATTGTATTGCTTTGAAGACTTGTACTGTGATGAACTCAAAGAATAGGGGACTACACTATAAATACTGAACAATCGCATCACCTTAAGAAAAGCCATTACTGAAAAATAACACTAATTTTGAGTTCTTGGTATGCAGTGGAATGGAAGTAGTTGAACAAGATTTAAACTAGATTTCAGCAGAGAAAAAAAAGAGCACAGCATAATAGTAAATTACTAGGAAAAAAACAACTTACTCAAATCTTGTATCCTCAACTAAATTCCCTAGCTTATTATATTAGTTAAACAAAGCCACAAGTCCATTTAACTGGATTTTAAGTAATAAAACTAGACTATATGATTAATTTCTGATAATTCTGGATGATAGGTATTGAAATTTCCTTACTTGTATTAAAATGTTCATTACATTTCCTAAATAAGTTTTGGGCATATACTCAGTATCACTGAAAGTCAAAAGGATATCACCCAAATGCAAATTTAGCGGAACTACTAGTAGCAGGTAGGTAGTGATGACAGAATAAAAACTACACATTATGCACCAGCATTTTTCACAGAGCTAGAACAACCAATCCTAAAACTTGTGTGGAACCACAAAAGACCCTGAATAGCCAAAGCAACTCCAGAAAAGGGAAAAACTGGAGGCATCACGATTCCAGACTTCAAGCTACATTACAAAGCTGTAGTCATCGACATGATATGGTACTGGCACAAAAACAGACAGATCAGTGGAACAGAACAGAGAGCCCAGAAATGGACCCTCAACTATACGGTCAACTAATCTTTGACAAAGCAGGAATATCTAGTGGAAAAAAGACAGTCTCTTCTTCAACAAATGGTGTTGAGAAAACTGGTCAGCCACATGCAGAAGAATGAAACTGGACCACTTTCTTACACCATACACAAAAAGAAATTCAAAACAGAAGAAAGACCTAAATTTGAGATGGGAAACCATCAAAATTAACCTCTTCAACCTTGGCCGTAGCAACTTCTTACTAGACACGTCACTGTAGGCAAGGGAAACAAAAGCAAAAAATAAACTATTGGGAGTTCATCAAGATAAAAAGCTTCTGCACAGCAAAGGAAATAATCAACAAAACTAAAAGGCAGCCTATGGAATAGGAGAAAATATTCGAAACAACATATCTGATGAAGGGTTAGTGTCCAAAATCTATAAAGAACTTATCAAACTCAACACCCCAAAAACAAGTAATCCATTTAAGAAATGGGCAGAGAAGACATGAATAAACACTTTTCCAAAGACATCCAGATGGCTACCAGACACATGAAAAGATGCTCAACATCACTCATCATCAGGGAAATATAAATCAAAACCACGATGAGATACTGCCTCATACATGTCAGAATGGCTAAAATTAAGAACACAAGAAACAACAGGTGTTGGTGAGGATGTGGAGAAAGGGGAACCCTCTTGCACTGTTGGTGGGAATGCAAACTGGTGTGGCCACTCTGGAGAACAGTCTGGAGGTTCCTCAAAAAGTTAAAAATAGAGGGCGCCTGGGTGGCTCAGTTGGTTAAGCGACTGCCTTCGGCTCAGGTCATGATCCTGGAGTCCCGGGATCGAGTCCCATATCAGGCTCCCTGCTCGGCAGGGAGTCTGCTTCTCCCTCTGCCCTCTTCCCTCTCGTGCTCTCTGTCTCTCATTCTCTCTCTCTCAAATAAATAAATAAAATCTTTAAAAAAAAAAAAAGTTAAAAATAGAATTACCCTATGATCCAGCAATTACACTACTAGGTATTTACCCAAAGGATACAAAAATACAGATTTAGAGGAGTACATGCACCCCAATTTTTATAGCAGCATTATCAACAACAGCCAAATTGGAGAGAGCCCAATTGTCCATCATCTGATGAATGGATAAAGAAGTTGTAGTTTATATATACAATGTAATATTACTTAGCTGTCAAAAAAAGAAATCTTGCCATTTGCAATGACATGGATGGAGCTAGAGTATATAATGCTAAGTGAAATGAATCAGTCAGAGAAGGACAAATACCATATAATCTCACTTATATGTGAAATTTAAGAAAGAAAACAGATGAACATATGGGAAGGGGGAAAAGAAAAAAAGGAGAGAGGGAAACAAGGCATAAGGGACTCTTAATGATAGAGAACAAACTGAGGGCTGATGGAGGGAGGGAGGTGGGAGAGGGCTAGATGGGTGATGGGTATTAAAGAGGGCACTTGTGATGAGCACTGGGTATTGTATGTAAGCGATGAATCACTGAATTCTACTCCAGAAACCAATATTGCACTGTATGTTCACTGATTAAAATTTAAATTTAAAAAAATTACATATTACGTCAAGCTCACTAATTTTTAGAATGAAACCATTGAAATTGTATGGAAATTGGATTTTTTCATGTGTGATTCTTGAGATGAGTCTTTAACACCAGATCAGCCAATTCTACCTCTTAACACAATTCCAAGTCATCTGCCTCAACTATGCAGCTTATGCTCTCAGGGTTGGGTACATAATCTTTCTTCTACTGGGTGCTACTGAAGTATAAAAAAATTCAATAAAGAACCACATACAGCTTAGTTTCTTTTTCCATAGAAAAAATGAAACAACTGACTAATATATTCAATAAATACAATTCATGTTGAAAGTACTTAGTTCTATATCATGACCAGTTAGGACAAATAAAAAAAACAAAAAGATTGGCTTAGTGAGGGGAAAATGGGGAGAAGAGAAAAAGAGGTAGCATGTCTAATGTGAGAAGAGGGGCAGAAAAGGAAAGGAAAAAGAGGCTATGAGAGGACAGAAGAGAACAGAAACCAAAAGAATGGAGTAAAGTAAAAATTAGCTTAACACCAGGAATAACAAATGCAAAGAAGGCAAGAGAAGCAGAAACTCTCAAAAGCAATGATAGCAGAAAGACAGTAAAAAAGGAAAGGTAATAAAAGTAGGGAAGATAGAGATGATTGTGAGTAGAGGGAGAAATAGCCTTTCCCATACTTTTCAGATGAGCTCTAAGTAACTAGCAGTGTAAAGTTAAGCATTCCTTATGATTTTTGAGGATCTTTATGTAATAGCAACATACTCCAAAGATATAAAAGTTATCTTGTGAAAAGCATTCCAAATTTTTTCAGTTAAGAAATGATATGCTGGTACAAAAAAGAAAACAGACTGATAAATTAGTTGCATATTACAATACCTTAAGGTGGAAAAAAAAAAAATCTCTTTTGCAGACCTGAGGCAACAACTCATACTCTATAATGAGGAAATTAGAACCTCCAGACTAGTATTTAAGTAACAGGGACTCAGTAAAATAATCAAAAGTGACCTCAAAGTCCAACTTCTGACACATCTGTCAGTGAAAAAGCACATAATTTTTCATGATGACTGAATTATATGTCATTTTGGAAAGGTAGCTCCAAAGTTACCAAAAAAGATTAGTTTCTTTTTCCAAAGGAAAAAATCGGTAGACTGCCATTTTGTAGATTTTTCAGAGAACTTCCTTCTGATCATTTTTTTAAACCCCGATCAAATTGCTCTATCATGAAAGTGTTTATCAGTGTCACTTTACTCACTCATCTACCCATCCAACAAATATTTACTAAGTGCCTACCACGTTATCAAGCACTGTTCTGGGTATAGATAATATTGTGGCTGAAAGGACCCAGAATATGCCACTGTGTCATAAAAATTATTTTGAGCTGAAAGCATTTGAGTTCCTGAAATTCCTAAAAGCAGAGCCTCCCAAAAGAACTCAGAAAGAACTCAATTGTCAAAAATCCTCTCTCCGGGAGCACCACATCCAAACAGACATTGTCATAAAACTATCCTAACTTCCACTTATTCTCATTAGGGTCCATCTATTTATCTTTCCAAAGTTTTTCCCCACCATGCCATAAATGCTCTGTCTTCTTCCTCTTCTAAATTCCTAAGTGCCCTTCTCCCCACTCCTCTTCACCTATTAAGATGGTATATAAGACCCAAATTCTAGGCACCTCTGAGTCACATTTCTTTGTGAACTCCAATACATATACATACTTGATTAAAATCTGTTTTTCCTCTCACTAATCTGTATTTCGTCAGTTTACTTCAGAGGCCCTCAAACATAAAACCTAAGAAGGCAGAGAAATAGTCTTTCCTCCCTGACATGGTAAACAAGAGAATATTCCTACTGTCATGGAGCTTACATGTTCATGGAAGGTAGACAACAGATAGGTATATTTATATAATAAAATTTTAGGTAGCAGAATGCACAATAAAAAAACAATAAAGCAAGATAATGAAATTAGAGAGTAAAAGAGGGAAGGAGCTATCTCATAGAATTTAATAATTGTTCAGAGAAATAAGAACAAGACCGTTTAGAATTCTCAAATGTGCTAAAGCAAAGCAACCATAATACAAAATATAACTATCTGGAATGCTGAAATGATTTTAGGAGAAAAAAAAAAGTCACATTTAACTCTTTCTTCCAAGTGAAAGCTTTCCGAAACATGGACAAAATTAAACTAATTCTACCATTTTTGGGAGGGGGCTGGTTTCCATAAAGATTATTGAGAACTATATGCTTACCTAAGCTGTCAAAGTGATTCAACAATATAAAGCACTTCCTAAGTATCAGACTTTGTGCTATTATCTGAGGTAATCTACAACTGTTCTAGGAGGTAGGTGCTATTAATATGCTAACTTTGTAGATGAAGAAACTGAAGTTTAGAATGGTTAGGTAATTTGCCCAGAGTTACTGTTAATAAGTGGCAAAGCCAGGATTTAAACACACCTTTCTAATCCCAAAACCTATGCTTTAACCAGTATATTACACTGCTAGGTAATTGCTTCAAAAAGTAAAGTTGGCATGATCTCACTTATATGTGGAATCTAAAAAAGTCAAATACATAGAAACAGAGATTAGAACACTGCTATCAGGGGTGAGGAGGTGGGGAATATGGGTAGATACTGGTCAAAGGATACAAAGTTGCAATTATGCAGGATGAATAAATCTTCTGATCTAATATACAACATAACTCTAGTTAATAATACTGCAGTGAATACTGAAAATTTGCTAAGATAAACACACAATGAACAATAACTATATGAGGAGATGGATATGTTAATTAGCCTGACTGTAACCATTTCACTATGTATATTAATATCAAAATATCCTGTACACCCTAAATACATGCAATTTTTATTTTATAAAAAAGAAGTAAAGTTAGTATATGAGAATATTTAACCCAGTGCTTCCTGCCAACCAATGATTAAACTTCAAATCACATAAGCAACAGTGATTATGAAATGCAAGACATGACTATCGCATTATATCTACCTTATTGTCTCCTCCATAGTGAGTAACAGTTTTAAAATGAAAACCTGATTCATCAACTCTTCTATATTTATTTATTTATTTATTTATTTTTTTAAAGATTTTATTTATTTATTTGAGACAGAGAGAATGAGAGAGACAGAGAGCACATGAGAGGGGGAGGATCAGAGGGAGAAGCAGGCTCCCTGCCGAGCAGGGAGCCTGATGTGGGACTCGATCCCGGGACTCCAGGATCATGACCTGAGCCGAAGGCAGTCGCTTAACCGACTGAGCCACCCAGGCGCCCCAACTCTTCTATATTTAAACGCTTCAGACTTCCCCACTGCCCCAAGGATAAAATCCAAACTCTTCAACAGTTTTCAAGGCTCTGGACAGCATTCTTCTCTTTTTATCCAACATTCTGGTTTCTTCAGTATCTTAGTAAGTTATGCTTACTTTTGTTTCCAGGCCTTTGTATATACTATTTCTTCTGCATGAAGCATTCACCTACTCTCCCTACCAGCTTTTACATAGATAACTTTTTTTTTTATTAATATATAATGTACTATTTGTTTCAGGGGTCCAGGTTTGTGGTTCATCAGTCTTACACAATTCACAGCGCTCACCATAGCACATACCCTCCCCAACATCCATCACCCAGCCACCCCATCCCTCCCACCCCCCTCCACTCCAGCAACCCTCAGTTTGTTTCCTGAGATTAAGAGTCTCTTATGGTTTGTCTCCCTCTCTGGTTTCGTCTTGTTTCATTTTTCCCTCTCTTCCCCTATGATCCTCTGTCTTGTTTCTCAAATTCCATATATCAGTGAGATCATATGATAATTGTCTTTCTCTGATTGACTTATTTCGCTTAGCATCATACCCTCTAGTTCCACCCACATCATTGTAAATGGCAAGATTTCATTTTTTGATGGCTGCATAATATTCCATTGTGTGTGTATATATATGTGTGTGTGTGTGTGTGTGTAAATATATATATAAATAACCCACATCTTCTTTATCCATTCATCTTTTGATAGACATCTGGGCTCTTTCTATAGTTTGGCTATTGTGGACACTGCTGCTATAAACATTGGGGTGCACGTGCCTCTTCGGATCATTACATTTGTATCTTTGGGGTAAATACCCAGTAGTGCAATTGCTGGGTCATAGGGTAGCTCTATTTTCAACTTTTTGAGGCACCTCCATATTGTTTTCCAGAGTGGCTACACCAGCTTGCATTCCCACCAGAAGTGTAGGAGGGTTCCCCTTTCTCCGCATCCTTGCCAACATACATAGATAACTCTTAATCATCACTCAAATGAGTAAGAGTTATCAGTGTGTGTGAGGTTTCTTCTGGAGAGCCAACTACTGCTAACCCCATGCCCAAATCTGGGGTTAATTCCTCTCAAATGTGCCCCCTTAGTACCTTTACATTTTTTTTTTTATTAAGTAAACTCTACCCCCAAATGGACTTGAACTCACAACCCTGGGATCAAGAGTCACATGCTCTACCGACTGAGCCAAGCCAGGCACCACTTAGTACTTTTTTTTATAGCACTCTATTAGAATTGCCTATTCTATTAAAAGTGCCTGTTGTACACCAAACTGTAAGGGCAGTGACTAAACACACACACACACACACACATACACACACGGTGGTCATCACCATAGTACAAATGCCCTGTAGCTAATATATACTTAATAAATATTTACAAAATCAGTAAGTTCCAGACTAGCAAAGTCACATCAGATACTTAGATGAAATTTCTGAAAATTATTTTCACGGCTATAGAAAAGTAAACATATCAGATTTCTACATAGGAACACTAAAAAATATTAGTAACAGCAGTAGTAATAATGATGTAGTAAGATCTGTTATACGTCAAGCACTGTGCTAAGGCTCTTACATATCAGAATTCTCTCAAGGTCCATACTCACTAATTTAGAATGGTTCTGGACTAGTGTCAAAACAACAAATATACCACAATTACAAAGTCACCTTTATAATGCTCTACAAATGATGTTAACTCATCTTGGAAATTCATACAAGAGAAAAATATATTTCCTCCTATCTTGATAGATAGGGAAAGATGAAAGAAGAATATAATTTTGTTTTAGAATTCACTTCCAAATGATATTTCAAATTTTATATGGGATCCCCTGAGTATACATAGGCTGACAATGAGATGATGTGGCTTAAAACTATGAAATGCTGATGGCAGAGAAAAGGTAAAATTTGCTGTGGTTATCCAAGTTAGATTAAATCCTTAAGCATTGTCTATAATTTGACCTCAAGAACCTTAACCATTAAAAACACTTATGTGAAAGAGGGGCGCTTCGGTGGCACAGTAGGTTAAGTGTCCGATTCTTGGTTTTGGTTCAGGTTGTGATCTCAGGGTCTTGAGATCAAGCCCTGTGTTTGGCTCTGTGCTGAGTGCAGAGTCTGCTTAAGACTTTCTTTCCCTCTCCCTCTGCCCCTCCCCCCTCAAATAAATAAATAAATCATTAAAAAATAATTTTAACACTTATGTGAAAGAAATAAGAATTATATAAATATATTACTACCTGCTTGCTTTTCTGTATAGGGAACTATTAAGTCAGTAATATTTAGTTTCCTAACCTAGCTGAACAACAGAATATCAGGAGCAACCACAGAGTTAGAAAGAAAGGAAAGAAATTATGTATACCTGATCTATGAGTCGCTTTATTAAGGGTAGCCCTTCTAGTGCTGAACTGTCACAGCCACTGGTCAATACTCGTTCAAATCCCAAGGTTAAGAGGGTCTCTAGAGCTGCCACTGGATCATGAACCATGTCAAAGGCTGAAATAAGTAAAATTGATTTGAATTTTGTACAGCTATCCTCTAACAGAGTGCTTTCCAAAATGTAGTATACACACAGTGGTGTGCTGGACTTAGCTCATACTGGTGAGCCAAAGCCAATTGTTAAATATTCAGGAGTTTTGCAAGCATCATTTTTAATCCATCAACAGCTTGAAATCAGTCAAGGTGGGAGAATTTAAACCACAGAAATCAACAAATACTATATATTAGAGCTCTTTTTGTCTAAGAACTAGTTCACCAGCATACCACAGTCTGCATACCATGGCGGTATGCAGAAACATTTTAGATGCTACCCATTTGAATAGATGTATTTACTTAAACACAGATTTGAAATGAAATGTTTCCATTTTTCACAAGTTATAAAAGTTTCTCTTTAAAAGAAATTCACTTAAGATTTTATTTAAAGAAAATTACTAAATAAATTTACACAGGTAGCACTCAGATACGGTAAAACTGTAAATGTGATAGGCAAGTGACTCAAATTTGGAAAATTCTGTTCTAAGGCTTCAGACAAACTGGACTAACTGGAACTCAGACAAACATTACACTCACTGGTTCTAAAAAAGGCCTTGGTTCATATTCTCATTATTGACTAATATTCTATGCTATTCCATTTACCCCAAATACTTAAGGCTCATAGTATAAGGACAGTTGTTTACAATAGGCTATCTAGACTTACAATTCCATTCTATTTTCTAAGAGACTTTTCTCCTCCTCAGAGAAGAAAGTGGCACTAGGAACCTCAAAAAGAAAAACTACTTCTGCTTTGGTTCTCAGCACTGCTACATAATTTGGAAGTTCTAATCTATGGTGGGTTAGGTGCTTGACCCCTTTACTTTACCCGTTAGTGTAGGCAGACAGCTAAATGTACCACAGAGGCTTTTCCTTTTTTGTAGCAGTGCCTCACCAGTGATTAAACTATCACTATCTGATTAAATACACAAGTGAAAAAAAATGCAGAACCCAGGACAACGCAAAATTTTGAAAACATGAAAATATTTTTGTTAAATGTATTGAAGGAAAAGAAATTTGAAGCGATTTTCTTAAAGAACAAAGAAAAATACATTCTACATGACATCTTTATTTTTTAAATTATTTTGCATGCCAAACTTTACTTTTATTCTTTTATTCTTTTTTTTATTATGTTATGTTAGTGTTATATGCAAACAATGAATCATGGAACACTACATCAAAAACTAATGATGTACTGTATGGTGACTAACAAACTTCATCTATTTTTCAGATAAATGTTTACTAATTTAAATTACTTTTCATTATTTAAAAATTGCTTTTTGGCCACTCTCAAGGTGCTGAATTTTAAACACTCTAACATCTTTTAGTTATTGCTATGTTTATGAGAAGCATTGCTAAACAGCAAGTCAAGAGAACAGTTTTCTGGTGGTATTATTCATTTCAAAAAGAAACAAGAATAACAAATGTTTTATCTCTATCTTCTATAAATAGATGCAAATGCCAATGCCCACTAATCTTTGAATGCTTATTCAAAAGGCCAGAAAAACATCCAACAATTTCTCAAGCATATATCATCAAGTTAAAAAAAATGACTTAAGACTTCTTTCTTTTCATGTATAAGAGAGTGCCCTCTTCGGGCAAAACTGACACTTGTTCCTACATTTTACCAACCAAGGTTTGACAAAAGTGTACAGAAATTAGAACTACCTGATTTATAGGTAAGAGGTATTTTTTACATGAAATTATCAGATACTTTTTAGAAATCATTCTGATGTAGACAATCAATATAGTTTTGTGCACAACAGTGAACATCTCTTCATTGACTATCTCCATCTATTCCTTCTTTCCTCCTTCCAAATAGTATCTGATTCTTATGTAGATATCCACCCCTCTCTCTGCCCAAGAATCTGAGAAAGCTGGCTGCACCACTAGCTCCTAGGATGGTCTTGTCTAGCTTAAGCCAGGCAGTACATTTCATTTCACTGGCCACAGTGGTTTTTGGTGGTTAATATGGTCTAAGGCCATCTAATAAAAATGAATCTCAGGGGGCACCTGGCGGGTTCCATCAGAAGAGCATGTGACTCTTGATCTTGGGGTTGTGAGTTCAAGCCCCACACTGGGTGTAGAGATTACTTAAACATAAACAATCTTAAAAAAAAAAAGAATCTCAAAATTCTTGCTTGGACAAGTGCATACACGTAGGCAATTCCTAATCTCTCCCTCTATTATATCCCACCACCACCACCACCACTTACTTTTAACAAATTTTCATAACAAAGCTTCAAATTGTGCATCTCTAAATTTACAACAGTTAGTATAAAGAAAACAGGTCAGTATAAAGAAAACAGCTGGTGACACTGTAACACTCTAGTATTGTGTTCCATAAAAAGGTTACGGCATTTGGTGAAATAAGAAAACTGACACTGTTCAATAGAACTTCTAAAATGGAAATGACTCACCTCGGTGGAAAGTGACTGGTAGAGGACGGCATATAGCTATAAAAAGAAAGCCAAATAACAATATAAATGAAGAGATCATCACTGATTACTATACACAGAATTTTCCATGTTAGATGGGATTTTTCTATACTTTCCTCTCCTAAGAAGTAAAGACAGTGAACTAAAATAATAAAATCATAGCCTTCCAAATTCAGAATTCCTATGTTTCCATTAATCTCTGATTTTCATACCAAAAAAATGGCCGTCCACTCCTTAGCTAGACCAAATAAAAATTATGTGATCTGATTACTATAAACGCAGCATTATATCTACTACTTTAACCCCTCTGAGTATCTTCAAGAAATACTTTGGCCTAGTAATATAAGTAGTATGCTTCTGTCCTCTCCACGCCTCCCCATCCTCACCAACTACAATAGCTTTTGAAGTTTTTTCAAATCCAGGTAAACCTCCCTTAAACCTTCCGGGAACAGTAACAGAACTTGATCTACAGCAACTTCAACTTAGGAGTCAATAGGACTAGAACACATATACCCTCTGCCCCAAACATCTAGAGCACTACTGCTTAATATAGGTTAGTTTAAGTGCCTGCAGGTGTGACTGAAAAGCAATCAGAAAAACTTGCATTCTTCTTTCGTTTTTTAAAATTTGAGGTGACACACAATGTTATGTTAGTTTCAATATCAGGAGTATTAAATGCAATCATCATTAGAGGCTTTTTGGTCTCAGATACAAATTCTTACCCACAAGGGACATGCACAACTCTTTGTCAATGTTTCCATCTTCAGTCAATGCTCCAAATACCAAACCATCAGCACCATAAAGCTTGGCAAGACGAATGTCAGCCTTCATCACCTCAACTTCACGATCTGAATATAAAAAGTCACCTCCACGTGGACGAATCATCACAAAAACTGGGATCTGGACACATTGCTTCACTACTTGAAGGACACCTAAAAGAATAGAGAACAGACTAATTAAAATTCAAATGTGATGGGCACCTGGGTGGCTTAGTCGGTTAAATGTCTGCCTTCAGCTCAGGTCATGAACTCAGGGTCCTGGGCTCCAGCCCTGTATCAGGCTCCCCGCTTAGCAGGGAGCACGCTTTTCCTCTCCCTCTGCAGCTCCCCCAGCTTGTGCTCTCTCTCTCTCACATACTCTCCCTCTCAAATAAATAAATAAAATCTTTTAAAAAAATAAAATAAAATTCAAATGTGAACAGCTCAAGGAAGTCAATAAAATTTATTGGCCTTTTACATTTGCTCTTGTGTATTACTTCTACAAGAAAAGGAAACATTGACTGAGGAAACCAGAGAAATCTGGTTCTAAAGGGAATGACAACATTAATTAAAAAATGTGCATATAGGGGCGCCTGGGTGGCTCAGTTGTTAAGCGTCTGCCTTCGGCTCAGGTCATGATCCCAGGGTATTAAATGCAGAACTTGATCTACAGCAACTTCAACTTAGGAGTCAATAGGACTAGATTGAGCCCCGCATCAGGCTCCATGCTTGGCAGGAAGCCTGCTTCTCCCTCTTCCACTCCCCCTGCTTGTGTTCCCTCTCTTGCTGTGTCTCTATCAAATAAATAAATAAAATCTTAAAAAAAAAATGTGCATATAATGGAAGTTAAGTAATAAGAGAATCATGGGTAAAAAAGTAAAGAGAAGGCATTTACTGCATTTTTAAAAGCACTTGTCATGTACTGCATGGAGCACTGGGTGTTATACGAAAACAATGAATCATGGATCATCACATCAAAAACTAATGATGTATTGTATGGTGACTAACGTAACATAATAAAATTAAAAAAAATAAAAAATAATAAAATGCAAAAAAAGAAAGCACTTGTCAGTTGACTAAAGAAAATCCTTTTGCTGGTATATGACGTTTGAAAGTATAATAACTAACAGGCTCAATATTCTGCCACTGTATTCCATAAGATCTGATTTTTCCTTTCTGATTGATTATAGCTCTATTTAGAACTTACTACAGAGATGTTTACATAGTTCTACAGTTTATGACCCTTTAATGAACAAAGAAACTTATCAAAACCTTTTTTGAAAGAGTTATATAAAAAAGAGCAAAGTTCTACTTGTTTGTGATTTTATGTAGAGATCTATAAATAAAAATACCTAAATGGCACAATTCATCACTAGCTCAGAAACCCTCAATAGTAAAGATCTTCCATGACTTACACTGTAATTACATCTCAATAAACCCATCTTAAGCTGAAAAAATCCTAAGTCAAAATGCCTTTAATATACCTAACCTACTGAACATTACAGCTTAGCCTAGCCTACCATAAATATGCTCAGAACATTTACATTAGTCTACAGTTGGGCAAAATCATCTAATGGAAAGCCTATTATTTTATAACACAGTATTGATTATCTCATGTAATTTATTGAATACAGTACTGAAAGTGAAAAACAGAATGGTTATATGGGTACAGAATGGTTGCAAGTTTATCAATTGTTTACTCCTGTGATCACATGGCTAACTGGGAGCTGTGGCTGCCCTGCATCATGAGAGTATCATACTACAAATGGCTAGCCCAGGAAAAGATCAGAATTCAAAATTCAAAGTACAACTTCTACTGAATGCATATTACTTTAGCACCATCATAAACTCAAAAAATCATAAGCCAAACCATCATGTATCAGGAACCATCTGTATAAGGTCTGTGAGAAGCACAATGGATTTATTTCTTTTTCCTTGCTAAAAGAACCCCAATTTTCTATGGGATAGCAATATGCCCAATACCAAGCAATGAATCATGATTGCTGTTACAAAAAACAGATTGCACTCAAATTTAGCTATGTTCTAGAGATTTCACAGAATGGCCAGGGAATGCCTTCCTTTAGTGAGAAGATTCCAAAGAGCTAATGCATATATAAACCCTTTATACTAAATAATGCTATCATCAACCTTAGAATAACATGGAAGAGTCAAAAATTCATACAGAGACTTCTGCTTTTGACCAAGACAAGAGTAACAGGGACGGGATTTGCCCTCCCACCAAAAATAACCAAAAAACACACATGAATATGAAAAATATATGAAACAATGGTTTGCAAGAGATTGTGTGTCAAGCAACAAAAAACAATGATGCCTGAAAGAAGGGAAACAAATGAAGTCAGCTCTATAACTGACCGAAATTACTACCTTGAGGGTTTTCTAGGCTGCAGCAAAGAAAGGGGGAACCGAGGTAGAGGCCAGAGAATTTTGAGTTGAAGAGACAAAGCTGAGAGTCCAGGGAGATCAAGTGACTAGAGTTCCTAGGAAAGAGCACCAGGGAGGAGAGAAAGAGAATTTTGGACATTTGCAGATAATCTCCCTCCAATATTCAGCTCAGTACTAATGAATGCATATATGCAAGGAAACCATACAAAGCCAGAGAAAAATCCACTGAAAAGAATTAGAAAGAAACAATGCCTTTCATTCACACCTGTCAGGCCAAAAATAATGCCTATTCCCAACAGGCAGATAGGAAAATTTGAAGATTCATGGGGCAGTGGGTAGAGTACACAGAAGGGTCTTGCTTCAGTAATAGGAATAATTAACTCCAGACTGACCACTGTTCCAGGCCTGCTTAACAAATTTTAAAGGCAATAACCAAAAGGAACAAACTGTTTCCAAATAACCCAACTGCTTGAGAATGTTTATGGGAATACAAACATATCTAGGGCCCAAAAAAGCAAAATTCATGTCTGGCAACCAGTAAGAAATTATCAGGCAGGAAAATAAGATGCATCATGAGGTGATAAATCAATCAAATGAAACCAACCTAGAACTGACATAGATGTTAGAATTAGCAGCCAAGTCATTAAAACAGCTATTATAACTTTATTCCAAATCTTCAAAACAGTTCAGAAACAATATATTAGATATAACAGACTCAAATTAAACTCCTAAAGATGAAAAGTACAATGTGTGAGATGAAAAATATACTAGGTGGGTTTAACACCTAGTATATTTAGATTAGACATTGCAGAGAAAAGATTAGTAAACTTGAAAACAAACCAATAGAATCTATGCAAAATGAAACACAGAGAAAAAGGAGATTAATATAAAAAGAGGGGCGCCTGGGTGGCTCAGCTGGTTAAGTGTCCAACTCTTGATCTCAGTTCAGGTCTCGATCCCGCAGTCCTGAGTTTAAGCCCCAAGTTGGGCTCCACACTGGGCATGGAGGCTACTTAAAAAAAAAAAAAAAGAGTAGTTCATCAGTGAGCTCTGGGACAACTTCAAGCAGCCTAAAACAAGTATAACTGACGTCCCTGAAGGAGGGGGTGGAGTACACTGAATGATGAAAATTTTCCAAATGTGATGAAACTATAAACGCACAGGTCCAAGAAACATGAAGAAAACTATAATCAGGTATATTGTTATCACATTGCTCAAAGCCAGGAGTAAAGAAAAGAATTTTAAAGCAACTACAAAAAAGAGACATTACATAGAAAAAACAAAAAAAACAAAGGTATGGATGATATTTCATATGAGAAATAACATCAGCAAGAAGACAGTGGAGAAACATCTTTAAGGTATTGAAAGAAGAAAAAAAACCTATCAACCTAGAATTCCACACCCAGCAAAAATAGCTTTCAAAAAATGGAGAAAGATGTTTTGAGACATACAAAAGCTAAAATAATTCATCCCCAGCATACTTGTACTACAAGAAAAATGTTAAAAGAACTACTTCAGACAGAAGGAAAATGAAATCAGATGGAAATATGGACCTACACAAGGGAATGAAGAACATCAGAAATAGTAACTATACATAGGTAAATACATGATTGTTTTCTTATTATTTTAATCTCTTTAAGAGATAACAGATTCTTCTTTTTTGGAAGATTTATTTATTTGAGAGAGAGAGAGTGTGAGAGAGCACTACTGGGGGGGAGGGGCAGAGGGAGAGGGAAAGAACCTCAAGCCAACTCCCCTCTGAGTGAGGAGCCCAACACGGGGCTCAATCTCACGACCTTAAGATCATGACCTGAGCCAAAATCAAGAGTCGGGATGCTCAACCAACTGAGCCACCCAGGTGTCCCTAATTGACTCTTTAAACAAAAATAACACTGGGTGTTATATGCAAATAATGAATCCTGGAACACTACACCAAAAACTAATGAAGTACTGTATGATGACTAACATAATAAAGACTAATGTAGTGTGGAGTGTATGTATTTTTAACACATACAGAAGTAAAATGTATGACAACAGCACAAAGACCAGGATGGGAGAAATGAAGACTAAAGTCAATATGCTGAAGATGCCAGGATGGAAAGATAAAAACCTGACTGTTGATACTACTGCAGAGCAACCGAACCAACGTTAACAGTAACTATCTATCTCTCAACTTGTTGATGTATAAGGATCTCATCTTTGATAGACAGGCTTATTTACAACCATAAGCACCTCTAACTAATTCAATATCCACAGCATTGTTAATATATCAGTAACATTAGTAAAGGATCTCAATGAAACATATTTTCCATTGTCTCCAGGCTCTATAAACTCCAACCAGAAAATAGGGAAAACACTTACCCATGCTGGGTGTGGTTCCTCCTTCCAATAAGCCAGAACATAATTCAATCCGGCCAGCACCTATGTGAAAAAAAAAAGCATTGCTCAGTACAATAAACTTTTAAAAATTAAGAAAAATTTTAAGAAGCATTTCTCAAAAATTATCGTCCAAAATAAACATTTATGAAACAGTGAACATTTTTTTCAAACATAGAGCAAAGAGTCTTAGAAACTGAGAGATTATAAAACTAGAGTAAAACTCTATTGCTAATCCCAACTATATTCTGCAACCCACATTGTGTTACTGATAGTCAAATTTAAGAGTTAATTCAAGTTAAGCTAGGTCTCTTGAAATTTTGTATTACAGGGTTGCCTCTCCATGTACAAGGATGTGACTCAGAATAAATATGGTCTGAGTTGACCATAGTGGAACACTGACTCTTCATTGATAACAATCTTTTCCAAGACTTATTATTATTCTAAGATTTACAAAACTACAAGGTAATTTTAAGTAGCTTAAATCAAGGTAATTTCAAGAATAAGAGAATACTGAAAGCAGATTAACTATCAGACTATAGGGTCATGTCAAAAGAGTCTCAGGATCCAGGCTGAAGAGGCCAGTACCAGCCAAACATGGGACACTTTGAGAATCAGTAAGAAGAAAAACTATAGTGGAGTAAAACACATCAAATATGTCTAAATCTAGATTCATAATGATAAAACAATTCACTGGGGGACAGAGAATAAACTCATTATCCTAAAATCAGTAAACAGAGGAAAAGGAGCAAGCATTTATCCTGCCTCTTATAGTAACTGAACCTCAATATAAACAAACAGTTGATGAGGGAAAGTTCTTTATAGAAGAAGCATACTGATAGTAAGTGAAAAGTAAATGTTCAACGTAATATAGTATGATATTTCAAACCCTACTAAAAGATGCACTGCTAAAATAATTAGGTAAAAAGATGAAAGAAAAGCTTATAAAGGATGGATCAGGCTGACAATATGACCTATTAATTAAAAATGTTTGTGTTTGTTTTTAAAAAAAATAAAAATCTGTATTGATATATAATTCACATACCATACAATTCACCCATTTAAAGTGTATAATTCAATATTTTTTAGTATACTTAGAGTTTTGCAGCCATCACCACAATTAATTTGAGAACATTTTCCTCACCCCAAAAAGAAACCTTATACCCTTTAGCAGTCATCTCCCGTTCTCCCATGCCCTTCAACTCTAGGCAACCACTAATCTACTGTCTCTAAAATTTGCCTAATGTGGACATTTTATATAGGTGGAATCATATAGCATGTGGTATTTTGTGACTGTTTTCTTCCACTTAGAATAAATTTCAAGATTCATCTATGTTGTAACATGTATCAGCACTTCACTCTTTTTTATTGCCAAATTAAGAACTGTTTTTACATTTTCAGAGGGTCATTTTAAAAATACAAAGACTATTCCATGAAGACCAAATGTTGCCAGTAAAACTGAAAATATATACCACGTGGCTCTTTTTTTTTTTTTTAAGATTTATTTATTTATTTATTTATTTAAGAGAGCACAAGCACGCATGCATGAGAGCAGGGGATGGAGCAGAGGGACAGGGAGAAAATCTCAAGCAGACTCCTTGATCCCCCCACCTTGAGATCATGACCTGAGCTGAAATCAAGAGCCAGATGCTTAACCAACTGAGCCACCCAGGCACCCCTATTATATGTTGCTCCTTATAAAAAGTGTCCTGACTCCCTGATATCGTGGAAATATTGGCCATGTGCTGAAACTAGTAGACACTGAGTGATGGGTACGTGGGGATTCATTATACTATTCTACTTTTATATATGTTTGAAATTTCCCATAATAAAAAGTTTTTAAAAATTTCTGATCCTGAGATGATGGGAATTTCTATGCTTCCCCATTAAAGCAGGTTCAGAATGCAAAACAAACCTTGAGGTAAAAATAGATAATGCTAAAAAAAAAAAAAAAGATAATGGGGGTATCTGGTTGGCTCAGTCGGTTAAGTGTCTGCCTTCAGCTCAGGTCATGATTTCAGAGTCCTAGGATAGAGCCCCATGTCTGGTTCCCTGCTCAGCAGGGAGCCTGCTTCTCCCTCTACCTCTGCCCCTCCACCCACTTGTGCTCTCTTTTGCTCTCTCTCAAATAAAATATTTTTTAAAAGAAACATAATTATAAAAGTCTTGATGATGAAAATGGCAGCAAAACTCTTAAATCATCTTTAAGTCAACAGTTTAAAAAAATGAAGTCTTTGCTAAGTTCAATTTTAAAAAAAATGAAGTTGGTAGGTAAGCACTATTGTGGACACTTGACTCAAAATGTGATCTATTGGAGGAGTAAGATTAGAAGATGATAAAGATGATAATTTTCCAGTACGTTTTCCAGTTAGTTGGCTGTTTTCAAAAAGATTACTAGGATCCTTACTAGGATCACAAGGGCTCCCAAGATCAGTTCATAGGATTCCTTTTCAGACTTTTTTTTTTAGAGAGAGAGAGAGAAGGGCGGAGGGAGGGGCAGAGGGAGAGGGAGAGAGAATCCCAAGCAGGCTCCACACCCAGCGCTGAGTCCGACCTGGGGCTCAGTTTTACAACCCTGAGATCATGACCTGAGCTGAAATCAAGAGTTGGATGCTTAACCAACTGAGCCACCCAGGAACCCTCATTTTCAGACTTTTAGAAGGACTGCCAACTGTTATTCATTCTCTTTTGTCTTACCTCCTCGTTCTGCATTTACAGCTGACTCTACTGAATCAACACACACTTCCATGAGAAATCCATTTGTCATTCCTAAAATACATGGAAAACAGTGCAATTTCATGATGATACTATCCATCCAGACCAATCTACCACCATTTTATTTTGCTGCCCAAAACCAATGTCCAATAATAGGCAAGTAAGTAAATATACCATGAATGCAATAAAATACCATACTGATTATTAAATTGATGTCTTTGAACTATGAAATAAGTATACAGACATATGTATAAGAAATTATACTGAAGGAAATATACACTGAATGCCAAATTAATCTTCCTAAAACACAGCCCTCATTATAAAATTCTAAGTCAGATTTTTTTCAATGTTTCTCAATGTTTTCAGAATATGTTTAAATGTCTTTATAAAGATCATATGTTTAAGAACAAGGATGGGCTTCAAATCTTGGCCCCACTACTTATTTGTGTGATCCTAGACAAGTTACTTAGCCTTAGTTTTCTATAAAACAGAGTAGGCTTTAGTACCTACCTCAGAGTAGTGAGGACTAAATAATTCATGTAAAGTGAAGGGTACCCACCATATGTACAAAAAGTTATCATTAATAAACTACATATTATTTCTTCTATACATCTCCAGCTCCACTCAATTCTCATCTCTGCTCTTGCTTATGCCATCCTCCTCAACCCACAAAGTCCTGCCAGCTCCATCTTTGAACAGTAAAATCTTCCAAGGCTAACATTAAATCACATTTCCATATCTCTTCTCTCCCAAAGTAGGATCTCCCTCTTTGGAACTCATGTAACTCTTCATAAATTATATGTTCCTCTTTAAAACACTAATTGATATCTTTTAAAAATACTAATTACTTTCTACCTCTTATTATTATGTATGTAGATAGATGTCTGTTCACTTTTACTTGACCTGAAGTTCCTAAGTAAGGTCTTTATGTGAGAAACCTTTATCATCACCCACAGCAAGCACTGTCTCTACCTTGGTACACAATAGTCATGCAAAGACTTTCTAAAGGCTGAATAATTACAAGTTCATAAATTTCATTCATGTATTTACACTAAAAGTGTGATGAAAATAAGTTTTGAGTTTTTCTGTAAGTTAAGCACATAAGGTGGTTGTTTTTTTGTTTTTTTTTTACAATTAATAAGAGTATTAAATGTATACTTCATGCAATACTTGAAAGAATCACCACGTGCTGATAATGCTGACTACTGGGTGGTAAGATTTGGAATTACTTTTACTTTCCTCTTTTTACCTTTTTTTTTTTTTTTTTTTTTTAAGTAGGCTCCACTTAAAAAAGCCCAGTGTGGAGCCCAGTGTGGAGCCCAGTGTGGAGCCCAACCGCCAGGCTGAAATTAAGACCTGAGCTGAGATCAAGAGTCCAATGCTTAAGGGACTAAGCCGCCTTGTGGCTCCTCCCCTTTTTACTTTTCTATGTTGCTTTTTTCCTACCCAATATTGTTTTTATCATTTTTTAAAAGGCTATTTTTAATTTGAAAAACAAACATCATCTGCTTACATCAAATTGCAACTGCCTCACTTATTTAAAAGAAGACTGTCAGTCTCAAACTGTTTAAGAGTTAAGTGCCACTCTATGTTCTTAACCAACAGCACTGCATTCATTCCAAGAGTTTCCGGAGAGCCACCCACACCAGCTGTCACATCAGTCTAACTGGACAGTGCTGCTGAGGTACCATTTGCCTCACAGGAGAAAGGACCTTGGCCGGGAGAGCGTGGAGGTCGGTCACACAGAAGGCTGTGTGACAGAAGGCAGACTAAGCTAGTTGTCCAGGAAGCGAAGTTATTTGTAGGAATCAGAGACATTTGTTTGGAGCAGTAGTTCTCAAAGTGTGGTAGCCCAGTTAGCTCCGGGGGCCTTTAAGACCCTCTCAGAGTCTGTGCAGTGAAAAGTATTTTCATAGTAATACCAAGACTTTATTTGCCTTGTTCACTCTCTTTCTCTCCCAAGTGGAGTGAATTTTCAAGCGGCTCCCTGACAGGTCAGACTGAACGCAGAAGCAGATCTAACAGTTCCATTAATCCAGATCTTAAAGAGATCTGCAAAAAATATAAAACACTGGCATTCTATTTGTTTGTTTAGGTAGACAGTTACTTTTCAAACACACACAAATGTTATTTAATATTTCTAATTAATGTTTTAAAATTTGTTTTAACTTCGAATACCGTCAACACCAATAGACTTAGCTTATGTAAGTAAAAGGTCTCTGAGGTTCTCAATAACTTTTAGGAGGGAAAAGGAGTCCTGAGATCAGAAAGCTTGAGAACCTCGGGTCCGGAGGAACCAAGAGTTCGCGGGGTTGGGGGCGGGGGGAGGGAGTCGGCCAAATTCCCCAGCACCTGCCACGCCTGGCGCAGCAGCAAGCACTCGGCACGGGGCGGCCACAAGCGCTGGCAGCGGCCGCTGTGCAGCTTTGGGGACAGTCCTCACCCCCGCCGCAGCAGCGAAAGGTTACCAAGCAGTCACCAGGGGTAGGCACTGAGCTCAGCGCTGGGCATCTAATTGTCCCAGCGATGCCACGGGGTGGGGACTGGTAGCCTCGCGTGGCGAGGGGAACTTGAGGCTGGAAGAAGTTAACCAACTTGAACACGCTCGCCGCACACTAGACGTGATGGCGCCGGGATTCGAACCCACACATCTGGTTCCAGAGCCCGGTCACTCTCGCTACAGGCCCCTTCTCAGGCCCTCAGCTTCCACACGTTTAAAGCCAGAATGACAGAACGTGCCGCGCGGGCAGCCGTGAGGACGTGGGCAAAGTACTCTGACAGAAATCGCGACACCGCGGGCCGGAACTCCCGCAGGCCCGCCCGGGACAGTCAAGTCGGACGGCCGCCCCCTCCCCGCCCCCTTCCGCACCGGCTTTCCCGGACGGTTTGCGCGCCCGTTTCCGCTCCGAGGAGGCCCCCTGCCTCTTCATGTTCGACGCGTTCCCCCCTCGTGCGTCTTCGGTTTCCTCGGAGTCTGGCGCGCGCGACCAAGGAAGCGCGCCTCAGGGCTGCGCGCACCCCCGCGCGTCCCCGACACCAAGACCCAGCAGCCCCCGCGAAAGCCGAGTCGTTGGCGCAGTCGCAGTCGCAGTCACCACTAGCCCTTGCCTTCTGAGAAGGAGGGGGCTCACGCTGCATGACCCGGAAGTGTTTCTCTGTTCGGTGGGGGAGAAAGGAGACCACAGAGAGCTGGGGTGTAGAAGTGGTTTCTTTGCACTGTCTTCAGTATGCAGCGATTACTCTTTCCGCCCCTGAAGACCTTGATGGGGAGTCCGTGTCTCCGACTCCTGGTTCCTAGGGCCGCGCCTAGAACACAGGTACTGCACCGCAGAGGACTCGGTCGCGGAATCGGACAGGGGTCGAAAGAGCCAGGAGAAAGATAATAGGTAACCCCACATCAACATTGCCGTAGTTCCTTAGAATTCACAACACATTTCTTTGTGCCCAGAGCCCCTGAGGTAGGATCCGGACCTGCCACTTACTGGCTGTATGATACTAGCCAAGTTCAGTAACCTTTCTGTGCCTTATTTCTTCATCTGTAAAATGGGAATAGCAATACCTACTTCATAAAGTTGTGGTGAGGATGAATTAATTTCATATACAGCAAGGGTTTAGTACATAGTAAAAGCTCAGTAATTTTTACCTATATATTTGATTTTTGCTAAAAAGTCCCCAGGTAGTCAGGTAAGGAACTATAACTCCATTCTACAGAGAAGGAAATTGAGGGTTAATTTGTTTAAAGTTAGGAAACAGAACACGAATCTTTAGACTCAGGGACAGAGTCAGAAGAGGACGTGCATTCGGTCAACAAGTAATTATTGAGTGATTATTATGTGTTGGGAACTGGGAAGCAAAAGATAAATACCAAAAGGCTCCTGCCCTGGAGGAAAGCACAGTTAATTCATTTGTCATTCGTTTGTCAAATCTTTATTAAGGTCTTGTTATGTAAGGGAACTGTGTTAGAAACAAAAGCAGCAGGAGAGAAAGAGCCAGACTGACCAGACACCGCAGTCTGGCAACTCATAGCTTAGTGGGAGATGGAGACAAATGAACCTGAAGTACATTATCATGTGTTAAGGGCTGGGATAGGGAAGGTACAGTACGCTGTGGGAATGACCTGTTGCAGACCCAGGAGAATCTAGGGACATTTCCCAGAGGAGGTGACATCTCAACTGAGATCTATAGTAGATATTCTCGATCAGGGAAGAAGGAGCATCCCAGTCAGTGAGAAAGAAAATAATCCATGTCTGGGTGTAGAGTTAAGTCTGGGGGAAGTATGCAGAGACCAGAAGGTTCATGTGTTGTGGGGATGGACTGGAGTGAGGCAAAACTAGAGGCAGGAAAACCAGTTGTGGGATGGATGCAGTAATCCAGATAGGAGATGATGATTTACTAGGGCAAAAGCAGTGGAGATGTGGCCATACAGGGTACTCCACTCTAGACAGAGTGGGATTGTGTGTGAGAGCAGTGGATTGAGGCCTTTCCCTCAGTCTCCAGTTGTAATTTGTCTGTCTTGTTGATCCTTAGTGTGGTTGCAGCTGTGGGATCAGGCGCCCCTTGAGGCCGGGGCAATACAGCACCATCTCTGAAGTATCTTTGCAGTCTGGAAGGGGTACAGTGTCCCTTCCCGCAAAAGCTGCTGAGCGGGTGGTGGGCCGATGGCTCCTGGTCTGCAGTGGAACAGTGGCTGGAGCAGTTATTCTTGGTGGAGTGACTAGGTGAGTAATTCGCTTGTAGGGAGTCAGCTCTTTGGGTCATCAGTAGGAGCACAGGATGACCAAGGGGGAAGAGACCTTAGGAATCATCTAGTCTCGCTCCCTCATTTTATATGTGTAGAAACTGAGGCCTAAAGAGGGACACGCCTGAGGGCTTGCCTGCTGTAGAACAGTTTAGAGTTTTATTATTGGGAGCCCTTCATAAAGTCTGGTTCAGGTCTTGCCTGTTTGCTGTGCATTATCTGTATATATTTTCCCTCTGCAAACAGTTTTCAAATTTGTCTCAAAGTTTTTTGTACAGTTTGTTTGAATTAAATCTTCATAAATAGATCACAATTGGTTTGTATGCCTCTTAGGTCCCTTTAAATCTATAAAGAGATTTTATAGATTTAGATTCTTCTCCCGCTCTCCCCATTCCATGTAGTTTTTTTGCTATTAAAGAAACGTAACTGATTGGTCCTATGGAGTTTCCCGGTCTGGATTTTGCTAACTGCATACTTGTCGTGGTGTTGAACATGTCCCATTATCCCCAATATTTCCTGTAAACCAGTTTTTGCTTGATAAGATTCAGGTTGGGAGCGGGGGATAAAATACTTCACAGGTGATTACAACATTCATAAATATCTGGTGTCCATTAGAGATGCCAACAGCCATTGATGATCATTGCCTAGATCCATGATTTCATTACATTTGCAAAATTGTAATATTTTATTAGCTCAACTCTAAAGAAAAACTTGCCCTCATCAACAATTTGGTTATCATAAGGTACAGTTTGTATAAGAAAGGCAGGATAAGTACTTGAAGCTTTCTCTTTATTTACCAGTTTTGAAAATAATAAGTTGGTTCCCAAGCATCCTCCAAAGGTGATCAATAAAGGGTTTGGGTTTTTAAGTATTATAAGCTCATAGGTTTAAATGTATTTGATGTTTCAGTCCATTGCACTGATGATTTGCTCAAATTGTTTCATCTTTAGTCAATGGGAGCCTCTTCAGATTGCCTCCTGGGTCTTTTTGACAGGATCCTAGTAACCTAGTAATTAAATTCTTTGCTTTCTGGTTAAGATGTTCCAGGTTCATCTTCATTTCCTGCCTCTGACCTAAAATCAGCCTTTCACTTTAGAAACCCTCACTCCTTTTGGTGAAAATACCTTCTGGTATTAATACAATATATGTTCCTCAGATTCTCTCCACATTCCCTGTGCTCTTATTTAAAATACCATATGTTATATAGACTGTTATGGGAAACTGCAACAAATTTAAGTTTTATTAGCTTTAAATTCACTCAAGAATCTAAACTGTTTTATATCTGTAACAAATCTCTTTTCCCTCTGTAAATAATGTCACTTATTCATTGAGGGCATGTTTCTTTGCTCTAAGGGTTGATTTTACCTGTTAAGGAATGCTAGTGAAAGAAAGAAGTAAAGAGCTGAATGAAAGGATCGAGAGAACAAGGAATAAAGAAATTTGTACCTGATGGCAGCTGTTTCTGGTGAAATTTTAAGCAGTAAGAAGAAAGCAAGGTGTCAAAAAAGGATACACTGAAATGAAGTGTTTACTTTTAGAGGGGTTAAGTTCAGATCCATTTGTTTCTGTAAACCATTTACGAGAAATCCAGCATTGTGTGTGCATGTGTGTGTGTGCACGTACGTACACACACACACTTTTTACCTATCTTAAGGTTGACAGAGTCTGGTCTCTCAATGGTAGACTGGCATTTGATAAAGGAGATGAAACCACCTACCAGTCAAGAGGAATGGAAGACAGAATTCCAAAAATATCAGCAATTTCCGGAATTTAAAATGTAAGTATAGGGGCACCTGGGTGGCTCAGTCGGTTATGCATATGCCTTCGGCTCAAGTCATGATCCTGGGGTCCTGGGATTGAGCCCCGTGTCAGGTCCCCTGCTCAGCAGGGCAGTCTGCTTCTCCCTCTCCCCACTCGTGCTCTCTCTCTTTCTCGCTCACTCTCTCAAATAAGTAAAATCTTTTTTAAAAAAGTAAGTATAATAGAAAATCAGGTAAAACTCCCACTAGACCCTTTTAATCTTTTGCTTAAACATTTCAGAATGGCTAGATTCCATTATTGCTCAATATTTGCTTCAGTTATGTTTAGTGAGCTCCCTACTCTAAACCTCCAGTTCCAGAGTGATCCTGAGGTCACTGATGAGGAAGAAGGCAGACCTTTCATTTCAAGTTTCAAAACTGAGAATGCTCTTGCGTTCTGTCTGGAAATAAAAATCAAGATGTTTCTTCTTTCTTTTTTGACTTCCCTTTTCACCCAGCTTGAATCATGATATGACACTGGCCGAATTCAAGTTCATTTGGTACATGGAGTACTCACACCGAATGTGGGGTCGCCTTGTGGGCCTTGCATACATCCTGCCTGCTGCCTACTTTTGGAGAAAGGGCTGGCTCAGCCGTGGCATGAAAGGACGTGTTCTTGCCCTGTGTGGGTTAGTCTGCTTCCAGGTAAGATTTATTCAAGTTTGGGAAACCAGAGATGCTTCCAGGAGCTTCCTCGTTGGGATTGTTTGTAAAGAAGGAATCTGAGTCTATATAACAGAGTGGGAAAGAGGATGAATTTTAGTGTTATAGGCCTGCCCCAACCCTGCCACTTAGTAGGGCCAGTTGTCTACCTTCTGTAGGCCCCTTTCCTTACCCGTAAATAGGGATAATAAGAGTGCCTACTGTTTAGGTTGTGTGACTTAAATGAGAGAGATCATGCATATAAAGTACTTAGTTTAGTGCCTGGAATTAGTAAGCGCTCAGTAAATACATTTTTGTGTCACAAGAGGTTCTTTCCTCTCATGGCTTTCTTCCTGGGTTCTTGTCTCCTCCCCTTTTCTGACTTGTGTGCTAGATGGGGAATGGGATCCCTGTGTTCTAGCTAAAGAAGCGAATTTGAAGACTCCCACAGTTAAGGGGTTCGCTGAGACTGAGAGCCAAGAAAAGGAATATGAGAGAAGGTACATAGGAGTATTTGGTCATGATTATAGGCCCTCAAAAAGAGTCATAGAGCATCAAAGAAACATCACAGTTTGATCAGGAATAAGCTAATTGGTTAATTAGACTCATAAGTAGGAAGAATAAGAACCCATTAGAAGGAATTGAAGAGGGAGATGGAGGAGACAAAATAGAGGCAACAGAAACAGATAAAGAGACATTAATAAAAGTCTAATAACAACTAGGGGAGGGTTGGTGAAACAAAGTGAGAGTTTATTTTGGAATGAAAAAATAAAAAACACCCCGAAGACAGACTCCCAGGAAGGCAGCAATTTGAAGATGGCAGATAGGATTATGGGAAGAAGAAAGCAGGGCTGGCAAATCACACTGTATACTCCTTTGTCTTCCAGTGTCCTGTGC